CGTACAAAYACAGATAATGTTCTTACCTGTGGGCGCCACTGTTTCCATCTATTGACTTATTTAGTTCTATCTTAATAGAATATCAATAGCATCATCAACTAGGTTAGGTAGTTAGTAGGTAAGATCTTGTAGGTTTCTTGTTTATTGTTGAGGTCAGAAAATAATCGCCACATTACCACCAACATTTAATAATTTACTATTTACCTGATAGCTAGGAAAAACTTTAGGATCAAATTTAATCAACTTATTATAAGCTATTATTTTTTTTTTTTTAAATATAATTCTTGAAGCCAAACGTGTGGGCTAAATATAATAAATTGTTAAAATTACAAAATAGAAAATGTATAACTTTTATACTTGAATATAATTTTTAACATGAAAATAAAACAAAAACTTAAAAAATAMGTAATATCTACTAGGTAGTTCTATTAATACATAGAATTAGTAAATGAAAAACTTAACAAATAGGTAACTATACTTGTTTAAAATAAAGGTTACTTGAAAATAAAACAAATAAGCAAATAAAAAGTACTTGAAACATTAATTATATGTACTTATGGTCAAAATTGGTATGAATATTCTCTATATTCTCACTGGCGTGCAAGAGTCCTTGCACAATATTAATCTTTTCATTTGATGAAGGAAGAGACATGTTTAATGTAGTTACAGGACGGCGGTTTTTCTTTGTTGAATAAAATCGTACCTGTTTCGTAATTTTTTTGTTTCCCGGTTCCTTGATAGCTTCAAGGCTAATATTTTGTTTCAAACCCTGCTTTTTAGAATCAATATCTTCTAGCATTTGATTAAGGTTTCTGGACCAGGAACGTAACTTTTCATCAGTGAAATCTGCATCCACTAGAGTCCCTTTTGATAAGTAACCAAGGAAGGCTTCTACTTTTAATTTAATTGTGGATAGTTTATCATTTGAAGGTGAATGATTGACAGGTGTAATTAAGTKCTCTAACTTGGCAATGTTGTCTATATTTACTTCTACAGAATTATTATGCATAAAAAAATCTGGCTTCATTCTTGTTCGTACACAGAAATGTATATGTTTAYWAATATTATTTTTAATAATATAGTCAACACATTCACATGAATATGTATGAATACAAATCTTACATGGAATACAAGTAGAGAAACAATTGTCACTATCAGGGCAGGCTTCCTTCTCATCTATGATTTTTACCACTTCATAATTAATGTGTGCATTAGTAAAAGATGTGAYAAACCAAACCCTATCAGATACTTGAGTTAATTTTGTCACTACTTCATTCATTGCCTTGCGATGACTTAGTAAAATTGCTTCCTGAATTTTAGAAGGCTTACTTTTGCATAATTTCCTTACCATTTTAAAATATTGGTCCCGGATGAGTTTTAAAAGTGAATCAATACATGTATCAAGACGTTTATTTTTCCGACCTTCTAAATAATAATATTTGAAAACCTTATGAAAGCTTTCTAAATACATGTTTGTATTTATAAAGCTAGATTTTCTGTAGCAATAAGCCCATTCACTAACACGTTTCACATAGAAGTTGTCAAAATATGAAGCAAATTCTTTAGTATCATCATCACTATAAGTATCTACTAAAAAACCTTCCACAAGTTGAACAAATTTTTAGACGTTTGTCTCTTGTAATAAGACTCGTAGTCCTTTATAAACCATGGCTCTCTTCTCTTGTATTTTAATTTTCTCTTGAAGGTTTGTTCTCCAAGCTTTATCAACGTGCCACGTACACAACAATCTCTTCTCAGCAGATTTCATGACAGTCTTCCATGCATTATAAAACGAGTCATCAATATCGGACATAAAAACTTTTGGCTGG